CCGCGGCGGCCACACCGGGGGGCCTCGCCGCGACTCCGGGGACTGAGCGGGGAGAGAGGCAGGTGGTCGCTTGGCTGGCGCCCCTGGAAACCCCAGGCTCCTGCTGCAGGTCGTCTGCGGGCCTTTTCTCTGGTGAGTATCTTTCTAGACTTACGATGACGAGTAAAAGAATAGCAGTAATAATAACTGCAGTTGAATTTATTATTGGGCACTTTCTCAGTGCCAGGCTGTTAACATTCTCGCCCCAATTCACTGTCACAAGCACCAATGGATATGTCCATAACCGTGTCCAGTTTGCAGATGAGGAAGGTGAAGTTTTCCTTCTAGAAATAAGGAACTAGCCTCTGACGCTCCGTCCTCTCAGTGCAGCCACCCAAGGAGCCAGCCAGGGTGCTGCTCCTTTATTTCATGGAGAGAGGTTTATTGAGCACCTACTGGACGCTGGGGACAGTGCTGTGGCTTGGATGCAGCTGTCAACTTTGTGATGTGTCCAGGGGGAAGGAGGAGGACAGGAGGACACCAGTACAGAAATACACAGGTAAATAGTAACTGTAGGTTTGATGGTTCCTGTGACAAAATGTAACAGGAAAAATGTGACTTGGGATGAGAGGATAGTCCCCCATGCAGTTCGCAGGTGGGGAAACTGTGAAGGGCAAGGAGGCCCAGGCATGGCAGCTCTGAAACCGCGGGCATCCCACATGCCACCCTGTGATCTGCCAGCCCCAGGCCCCCTGCTTGCTCCTGGCTTCCTCCCTCCCAGCCTCAGTTTCCCCTCTGCAACACAAGGTCAACTGACCAGTCCCCAGTCCAGCAAGATAACCTATTGGCAGGACCAACACACAGCAGGGAATGCCTGGACCTTATTAAATTACGATATCCCAGGAGCCACCCATGTTCCAGACATGTCCCAATCATCACTGCTGGAGCTGGATGGAGGCTGGTCTGGAGTGGCCACTGGTTAACAGCACAAGGGGGACAGGGGCAGGCTGAGCTGGAGTTGGATGGAGCTCCTCCAGCTCTTCCATCTGACCTTGGAGTGAGGTGGCGCTCAGAGTCCCATTGTCCAGATGGGGTAAATGAGGCTCCCTCAAGAGACTTTTCTCAACTTTGCTCACCTAGCAGACATCCAGCTCACTCCCATTTGTTCTAGGGGCAGCGCTGGTGTGGCCACATAGGCTGGCAAAGGAGGCAGGTACCAATGAATACATCACCTCACTGCCACCTCCAGGAAGCCTGCCCTGTCTGCCCCACATTGCAGCCAGACAGAGCTCACTGAACCCCAGCTTCTGCTCTCATGAGCGCAGTTATTCCAAGAAGTTATTCTGTTAATGTACATTGCCCCTGCTGGGCCTGGAGCCCAGGAGGAAAGTGGTGGTGGTCTTACTCCTGCAGACCCCCAGGATGAGTGAGCGCTACAGTAGGAAGAGCAATGCCAAGCACAGTGAGGCACCTTCCTCCACTGTCCGTGCCAGCACAGGGGCCCAGGACAGCAAGCTGACCGGCTCAGGTGTCCCACTGACAGGCTGACCTGGTACTGTGGTTTCACTCTCCACATGCCCTTGCCACGTTGGGGTGGGGTCTGTCCTCCCAGCTGGGTTGGGGAGGAGGCAGTGAGTTTATTCAGTAGCCCCCCACCCACTACCCAGTGCCTTCTCCCAGCCGCCTCTTCGCCCCATCTTGTCCCCACAGTACAGCTCCTACTTGGGACTCTTACCACCTCTGTGCTTAAAAGGCCCCAGGCAGCTCTCCCTGGCACCAGGCTGCACCCAGCTGTGTCCCCAACTCCACTGTCATCTGACCTCCCTTCGAACCTCTAGCCATCCTTCTGTCCCTCAAATAAGTTGCATTCTACACACCTTGGGCCTTTGTACACGCCATCCCTTCGGGCCAGCTCTCTCTCCTCCTCATTCAGGGCCTCCCTGTTCATCCTCCAGACCAACCCCACAAAGGGACCCCCAAGTTCCGAGGTGCATTTCTTCCCACAGCTATCATACATTTAATGGTGACCTGCTGATGAATGGGTTTTGGCAAACTCCACAAAAGTGGGTCTGTCTTGGTGATGTTGCACCTCCATTATCCACCAGGATATGGAGGATATCCACCCTACTTACAGGCAGAACAGAGTGACTTCTACTTCCCCACACCCTTACCAGATCCCCCCAGGCCTGGAGTAGGGCCTGCTGGCAGCAGAGAAAGCATAGCCCCTCCCCAGAACCAGAACCTGGGCAGAGATGTGACACCAACCAGCGGTAGGGAAGGTCCATGCTTGTGGGAGGGTTGTGAGGAGGGTCCTGGGGAGAGATGGGGGTCTCCCTGGGAAGGAGACATCATGTGAGGAAAGGTCAGGAGCAGAGAGTCGGAGTGAGCACAGGAAGCTGGGTGTGTGGTAGAAGTAGGTGCTTTCAGGTCAATAAAGGGGCTAGAGTGAGAACCGGGTGCTTCTCAAGAAACGAGGATGAGAAACATTGGGAGGCTGAAAAGCCAGGCCATCCTTCAGGACAAACAAGTCAGGAACAATTTGGAGAAAACAAGGAGTGTTTTGACAGATATCTGGAGTATCTTGAGTCCAGAGGTTTGTAGCATTTGGGAGATAAATTCAGGTGTTTCCAAAGGGAAGGGTGGATATTTAACAGAGAAGCTGGTGTGTGCTTTCTCTTGGGATAAAATCGAGGGTCTGGGAAACATCAGGGGACTCTGCCCCCCACTCTCTCCCCACAGCAGGGGCATACCAGGGCCTGGCTGTCTCCTCCCCAGCCCTGGGGGGCCAAATCTGGTGCTGCCCTGGCTTCCCTGGACCCCAGACCCTCACCTCTAGAGGACCCCCACCATGAGATGACACCCACCCAGACAGGGTTCCCACCCCGAGGACACCCTGACCCCAAAAGGGGCCCCACCCCGAGAGGACTCCTGCTCTGAAATGACACCCACACAGAGAAGACCCCCACGCAGAGAAGACCCCAGCCCTAAGAGGATCCCTGCCTCTAGAGGACCCCCGCCCCACGATGACATCTACCCAGAGAGGGTCCCCACCCCAAGAGGCCTCGTAGATCACAGGAGGGCTCATGCGCCACACAGTCATTCCCAGGTTTAATTACAGATTCCAAGCGTCCAGTCCAGGCTGACAGCTGGGAGGGAGGGGCCTCACAGCAATCCCCTCCCGGGTCAGTGGTCATGGAGTTGCCAGATGACCCCATCAGCCCAAGGCTGCCACCTACTTCAACACCCTCATCTGCCCCAGCCTGAGGACCCACAGCGCTTCAATTCTACCCCCAAAAGACAACAATGTGCCAATTTTTCAGGTAGAAGATCTGAGCCTGGCAGGGACGGGAGCCTGTCTGCATGCCAGGGAGCTGGGGGCCTTCATTCCCCAGGAAGCGAGCTGATGACCCTCCAGGAAGGAAAATGGTGCCCTCTGGCCTCATCGGGGACCTAGGCCAGGCTCCAAGGTGGATGGCTGCTTTTCGATATATTTTCTTTAAAGGCGAGAAAAGGTTCTGTCTTTGGTACGTACATCTTCACTCCAGGTGAAGGTGGCGCCAGGCGGGGGTGAGAGAGAGGGGTCATGCACCCCGTGTCCTGGCCAGGTTGACCCATCCCAGCCCCAGGACCAGCTAGAGAAGGAAGACTCCAGAGATCCAAGTGGAGAAGGAGAGACAGCGGCGGTTCCGGCCTGACCAGGGTCCAGAGAAAGGCTGAGGGGCCCCTAAGGCCACAACAGGAGCATCTGGGTAGCAGGGACAAAAGCCACAGGCTGAGAACCATCACCTGGGGAAGAAAGTGAAGCAGAGGTCAAGGGTCAGTGGAGACAGCAACAGGAGACCTAGGTTCAGGTGTCATAGACCTCAGTTACAAGGCAGCAAAGTGACCCAGTGACAAGCCTCAGGTGGAGGGCCAGGGTTCAAGTCCCGGCTCCTCCATGGTCTTACCCTGTAACCTAGGGTAGTCCCTCAATCTCTCTGTGCTGCTGCTTCTTCCACAAAATGAGAAGATTGTTAACAGTGCCTGTTATGGAGTTGTATGGGAGTCAGTACAGATGTGGGGAGGGTCTGAGCATGGGGCCAGAACATAGCAACTTCTGCACTGGCAGCGATTATTACTGCCATTGGTGTTATTTCTCGGGTCACAAAAAACTCAGGGTGTAGAAGGACAGGTCAGACCCTGGAATGTGCACATACACAGTCCATGGCACTGCACATCATTTCAGATGACCCACAGGACCACCTCCATCCCTGGAGCCCTTCCCCAGGCTGGGAACCCTGTCTCTGCCTACAGCCGGGCCTGGCTGGGGGCAGGGAGCAGGCCAGCGCTGACTGGGGGAGGAGGCAGGAAGAGACTGTTGTCATGGGGACGGGAGAGCAGCCCAACCTGGCCCAGAAGGCCTCTCAGCCTTTGGGGAAATTCCACGGGCTGTTTCCTCCATGAGCTGAGCCCCCAGCTCCCAGCTTCCTGCCCCTTTCTCCTGCTCCAGAGCCTGCCTCTGCCTCCTCCCACAGACTGCCCTGGTACCTCGACCCTTCTGCATCCCAGTTCAGCTGCCTCTTCCCAGCCTAGACAGGCCCGCATCTCACCCCAGACCCGCCACCAGATGCTCTAGAACCATGGGACCTGTCTGTCCCTCCCCCACTCAAGATGTCTGAGGCTCCAGAACTGATGAGCCAGGTGGACCTTCTCACCCACCTGCCTTACCTCGAATGCCAGCCCTGCTGGACCCAGCCCTACTGGGCCCACCTCCCAGGTGGCCAAACGCTGCCTCTCTGAGGGATTTTTACCACCAGTTAAACACAGAGTTACCATAACAAGTCAGGGAGTGAGTGCTGATGGGGCCAGGGTTTCCTTTGCGGGTGATGGAGTGTTCTGGAATTAGATGGGGAAGGGGGCACAGTTGTGTGACGAGACCCACTGAGTTGTGCCCTGTAAACGGGTGAAGTGTGCAGCATGTGCACCCGTGTCAATTTTTAAGATGCGAAAAATCTGGCACATTGGGGCCAGACGCACCTGGCTCAGGGCTCCCGCTTGACAACGCCTCGCAAGTGCAGCTCGCTCTCAGCGGCTACGATGGGCTGCCCGTTCTGCAGGTGATAGTCGATCAGGTGGCTGATGCTCTCAAAGAGCACGTCCTTCGTCCGTACCTATGGGGCCAGAGGCCACAGCATCAGCACCACTGGAAGAGCCAGCCGGTCAGAGAGGCAAACTCTTGGGCCACCCTAGACCCGCTGACAGGGCACTGAGTTTTCACAATGCCTCCTGTACCTCATGCACAAGTCTGAAAACCACTGGGTCAAAGACTTCAGGCACAGAACTACATGTGGACACAGGCTCCAAAGCTCCAGCACCCAGGGGCCGTGGCTTCCTATAGTGGATTGAATGGTGCCCCCTCACCAAAAAAAGATATGTCCACATCTTAACCCCTGAAACCTGTGAAAGGGCCCTTATTTGGAAAAAGCCTCTACACAGATATGATTAAGATGAGTGCATCTTGAAGGATAAAGAAAATGTGGTACATATATACAAATGGAATACTATTCAATCATGATAAAGAATGAAGTAGTGCCAATTGTGGAAACATGGATGGACCCAGAGATCATCACACTAAGTGGAGTGAGACAAATACCACATGATATCATTTATATGTGAAATCTAAAATATGACATAAATGAACTTATTTACAAAGCAGAAACAGAGTTACAGATGTAGAGAACAGACTGTGGTTGCCAAGGGGGATGAGGTTGGGGGAGGGACAGATTGGGAGTCTGGCATTAGCAGATGCAAACTATCATATACAGGGTGGATAAACAAGGTTCTACTGTAGATAGAGCACAGGCAACTGTACTCAATGTCCTAGGATAAACCATAATGGAAAAGAGTATTTTTTAAAATGTATATATGGAAACTTCCCTAGCTAAGAACCTGCCTGCCAATATGCAGGAGACATGGGTTCAATCCCTGGTCCAGGAACTAAGATCCCATATGCCACAGAACATCTAAGGCTGTGTCCCACAACTACTGAAGCCCAGACACCCTAGAGCCCATGCTCCACAACAAGAGAAGCCATGCAATGAGAAGCCTACTCGCCATAACTAGAGAGAGAAAGCCTGCACACCTACAATGAAGACCCAGTGCAGTGAAAAAGAAAGAAAAGAAATTTCTTTAAAAAAAATGAAAAAAAAAAAGTATATATATGTATAGCTGAGACATTTTTCTGGTCAACAGAAATTAACAGAACATTGTAAATCCACTATACTTCAGTTAAAAATTAATTTTAGAAAAAGAGTAAAAAAGGATGAGTTCACCTTGAATTACTCAGGTGACCTCAAATCCAGTAACCTGTGTGTCCTTATAAGAAAAGAAGGAAGTACTCAGGGCTGGTGGCACTGGGATGACCCAGAGGGATAGGATGGGGAGGGAAGTGGGAGGGGGGTTCAGGATGGGGAACACATGTAAATCCATGGCTGATTCATGTCAGTGTATGGCAAAAAGCACTACAATATTGTAAAGTAATTAGTCTCCAACTAATAAAAATAAATGAAAATAAAAAGAAAAGAAAAGAAGGACTGGGACAACACAGAGACACAGCGAGAAGCCAAGAGAAGCCCTGAGAAGCTGAAGGCACTGGGGTGATGGGTCCACAAGCCAGAGAAAAGAATTTCCAGCAACGAGGAGAAGCTGGTGGAGGGGGCCTGAACCAGATCCTCCCTCAGAGCCACAGAAGGAACCAGCCCAGCCAGCACCTGGATGTCAGAAGTCCCGCCTCCAAAACTGGGACAGAACAAATCTCTGTGGTTTGAAGCTGCCCAGCTGGGGGTGGTCACTGGGAGGGCAGTCCTAGGAAACAAACACATCCCAGGAATCTTGTGGACACAGATCCAAAACTCAGAACCACCAAATCTAAACACCGCCTGCATCAATAGAATGCTGAGAAAATGCTGAGAAAATCTCAGCAGAGCCGGATGCAACACAGACCCCCACCCCCCCACCCCGGGAGATTAACACCACTTCAGACAGGGGACAGAGCAGTGAGCAGTGTGATTAGGTACGAGGGAGGAGGTAGAGAAGGGAACTGACAGAACAAGGGCCTGGAGCCATGGTCCCACCTGGGCGAGGCTGCATAGTAGCCACTGGAGTGTGCCCTTTTCAGGGCACGCACACACAGCCCCTAGGGTGGTGCGGAGGATTCAGCTAGATGACATAAACTGTTGTTGTTGTTCAGTCTCTAAGTAGTCTCGGACTGTTTGTGACCCCATGAACTGCAGCACTCCAGGGTTTCCTGTCCTTCACTATCTCCCAAAGCTTCCTGAAACTTATGTCCACTGAGTCAGTGATGCCATCCAACCATCTCATCCTCTTTTTCCTATTGTCCTCAATCTTTCCCAGCATCAGGATCTTTTCCAGTGAGTCAGCCTTGTATTTATCACTCAAAGGCATCACTGTTTGTAAGATGCATTAGGGATGACAGAATGTGGGGAGGGAAGTACATCTTACAGTTGATGAAATACGGTACTTTGTAAGTCCTGAAAGGCCTTGAGATTGGAAAAGGTTCTCTAACCCCTCCAAATGCTTTATAGACTGGGAAATCCTTTGTGAAAGCTAAAAGTCCTCTAAAACTGGAAAATACTTTGTAATTCTGAAGTACGTGGTAAAGGGAAATAGGATCTGTAAACATAAAGGGCTCTGTAATCTGAAAAATGCTTTATTAAACCTAAAGGGTGCTTAGAATGTAGCCGCCCTGGATCTCAGACAGAGGAGAGAGGCCTGGGCCCTTCCCGCTGACCCGACGCCCCCACAAGTCCCCTCCCCACCCCCACCACAGGCAGCCTCCAGCCCTGCCCCACACCTGCCCCCTGCGGGTCTATCTCTGCACTCTCTCCCCCGAATCCTCAGCACCCACCCCTGCCCCGCCCCCCAAGCCCACCTTACCACGCCCTCAGGGTCCACCAGCAGCAGGTGCTTGGGCTGCCCCGCGTGCATGCCGGTGAGGACGTACTGCCCGGGGTTGGTGACGCTGTCCCGCACGAGGAAGTCCCCATCTGCCCGAAGCAGTTTCTCCGCCGCCCGACGGCTCATCTGGCCATGGTACCAGGGCTCCTGACGCAGCTGCTCCTCCGTGGGGGCAATGGGGGCCCGGCGGGTCGGGGGACTGGGCCACTGATCCTCCACAGGAAGGGGGGCTGCCACCGAGCCGGCCGCCACAGAGCACTCATGCAGCCTCAGGGCATCCTCAAAGGGTCCTGCGGGCGGGGACAGTGTGGGCGTGAGGGGCCTGGGCTGCGGGGACCTGCTCCTTCACCCCTTACTGGTCCTATTAGTAACTCAATATATTCTCTTCAATTTTTTAAGCATAAGCAAAAAATGAGAATTTCTTTTTTTTTTCCAATGTGCACACCTATTTCTTTTTTCTTGTCTTGTTACACTGGCTTCCTTCCCAATGTTTATTATGCCTCTCGTTTCATCATCTCGTTCTGACTGCACTGGCCAGGACCTCCACTACACGAGCCACCTCTTTGGTAGGCAACAGGCGTCCCTTTCTTTTCCAAACTCTAATGGAAAAGCTCCTGATGGTTTGCACAAGTTCCCTATGGCTCCCAGCAGGCAACAGTGTAGCCCTCCCTGAGACGGTACCACGTAGCTCAGACACCCTGGAGTGCGCAGTGACAGCCCTGATCCCTGCCCTGGTGTGTCTTCGCTTGCTTTGCAACCCTCCTTTCTTCGCTTATGGTCCCTTGGGAATCCCTCCTCCCTGACTTCTCGTGTGATCTGAAAGAGGTTGACTCAGCCTCCAGCTCCTAAGACATGTGACCAGTCCTGACCAATCAGCATATGCCTCTCACACTCCTGGCCTAGTGATTGGCTGGGGGAGGTGAGACCATGACTCGAAGAGGGCAAATCTGTGGCAGCCCCCGGACTTCTAATGGGAGCCTGGCAACAAGCATCCCTTTTCGCACTAGGGTTGCTAGACCACCTGGCTGGGAGTCCAAGTGGACGGCCTGCCTCAGGAGCTCACACCTAGGGCACCTCCTTTCCCATCTGAGACTTCTCTGAGGAGCCAGTGGGGCCACAGCAGGGGTTCATGTCACTGCCTAGCATGTCATCAGGCAGTGAGGGAGCGGGGCTTTGCAAACTTTGTTAAAGAAGGGATTTCCGGCTGGCTTGGGAGTTCCTCAAAGACCTCACCTGGGGAGGTGTGCTGGGAGTGGGAGACGACCCTGCCTGGGCCAGCATGGAGCCAACACGTCCAAAGTGCTCGTGAAAAAGGATGGCATTTGATATTGTGGGAAAGAAGGAGAGTGTTCTGGACACAAACCTCCTCCATCCGATGGAGCCCTCCCTCAGACTGGGGGAGGGGCTCCACCATCTGCTAGATCAGGCCTCCCTTCTCAGGCCGGGATTTCTGGCAACAAGCCAGAAGGGGCTTGAGCCTCCTCTCTCAGATCATGGATCACATGAAGAGGGAGCTTAAACTCACTCATCAGACTGGAGAGACCCAGAAACAGGGAGCTAGGCACTTCCACCCTGCAGACTGAGTCCCATAGAGAAGAGCCCACTGTATCCCCATCACATTCTTCCAGGATCCGAACTAGCCCCTCCCGTCAAACTGGGGACCCCCATGGAGAGGAATCTGGGTTACCCTCAGGAGAGCCGTAGGGTCCCACGGAGGAGGGAGTCCCAAGGGAAGCATAGCTCACAGCCCATCCCCCACCAGACCACAGGTTGTTCAGGCGTGGCCCCACCCCACAGGCCTGCCTGTCCCCACTTACGCATGTCGAACAGATCCTTCTTGGGGCTATCTTCGGGCCGCAGGGGCTCAGGGCCGTCCAGACCCTGCGTGTTGACGTACAGATGGTCCTCGTAGTCTCGGGGGCCCCGGGCGTCCGCCTGCACATAGCCATCCCCGGGCTGGGCTGGGATTGGGAAGTCAGAGGGGCGTGAGGTCAGAGGAGCGCAGGGTCACACGGGGAAGCCCTAGGGAGGGGTCCAAGAGGGGCACCCCGCCCACGTCTGTGTCCCTCCAGGAAGCCCGCCCTTCAGCGCAGCAAGGTCAAGAGTGAAAAACCCCATGAGAGCCCAGCTTTGGGGCTGTGAGAGGCGTGGAGGTCTACAGGAGCCCCCTACACACACACACACACACACACACACACACACACGCCCACTAGTCTACCAGGCAGGAAGGTGGCCCAGGGACCAGAGCTTCCCAGTTTCAAGAGAAGGCAGAAACCCCAATGTTTATGTTAAATCTCCACATTTAAAAAGTAACAACAATAAGACTCTGCTCTCCCTGTAATTATGTTATCAAGTGAGGCGCAGTCAGGTCATTCATTTGCTTGTGTTCTATTTTAGAGTTTCCTTTCTGTTCTTTTCTAATTTTGTTTTGAATGTGTGAAGCATTTAAATGGTTCAAAAGCTTCAATTTCGTGAAACTGGTATCATTGGGTGAGTCTCTTCCGGGGTCCCTCAGTGCCCTGTGGGGATTCTACTGGGTCCTCCGCAGTTGGCCTCTGCCCAGCTTCAAGGCCTCACCCACCATGTGTTATCAGACTGTTGGACTTGTGCTGACCTGATAGGTGAAAAATCGCATCCAGGGGCACTTTAATTTCCATTTCTCTTATTTTGAGCAAGGTTGAGCATCTTTTCCTAGGTTCCAAGGATATTTGTGTATTTTTCCCTAGATCTATCCATCCATTTCTAAACATCTCCATTTTTAATCCTTGGCAGGGAAATGATGATCTTTTAGTACAATGTGGCCAAATCCAACCCAAGGGCCTGAAGCTACAATCTCTGCCTTGTACCAGTTACATCCTTAACCCTCATAGGCAACTGGACTCACACACAGCTCCACCCTCTGTGGGCATGACAGGTGAGTAACCTCTCAGTGCTTCAGTCTCCTCCTCTGCTAAATGGGGAGAACAGGAGTAGTTTCTTCACAAGTAGGGGTGAAGACCAAAACATCTGGCAGATGTTATGATTCAATAAAATTGCTAACATCATTACAGCCCTGGGTGGTTGATGGGGGCAAAGGGGCCTTGGCCCAGCCTTCCCAGTCTGCACAGAGGAGGTGCAGATTCTCCCAGCTTTGTACAGTCATGGTGGGATGGGAAAGAAGAAATCTCAGTTGCAGGGGTCCAGAGAGTGAAAATCCCTGGGCATTGGAGCTGGGGCACTGATGTATTGGTAGGAGTTCTTGGTCAGAGACTTGGGAAAACTGTGATATGAAACAATAACTTCGTGTGCAAAAGCTCAGGGGGTAGGAAATGTTAATGAGCTTGGGGAGTCAGGTGTGAGCAGCCCGTGTCCCAGAGAAATAGCTGACCAGGGCCAGATGATGGCTGGGCATCTACTTGGCACCCAATGCCACATGTGTTCTTTAACCACAGGTGCTGGGAGCAGTAGGGTTCTGATGCTCATCAGTGAAATGCCCAGATTGTTTGGGAAAATCTTTTTTTAAAAAAAAAGCCCAACACAGATGTCAGCACGGCTGTAAGGAAACAGGCAGCCAAGGCAGGGCTGGTGGGCAAACAAACTGCCCAACCACGTCAGGGAGCCATCTGGCAGCTTCCCCTACCGTGACGAAGGTGTGCATGCTGTCTACAGCTCAGCATCTGTGGGAGGGACACATGAGGGGGGCCAAGGAGGCATCTGCCGCCGATCAAGAGGGGGCCACGTGGACAAGCAACTGCAGGGACAGGGGACTGGCATGTGGCCATTCACCAGAAGACCCCACTGAAGCAGCCAGAGCCCCTGAGAGACTGGGGGTACTCACAGCCTGTCCTCATTTCTTTGTGGGGTGGGGGTGGGGGTCCATTCACATAAGGGCTGAAAGGAGACACACAGGTGCCAGAGGGTAAGCTCAAGACCTCAGAGCTGGGGGCTAAGGGGATTTTAGCCTCTTCTGTCTTTTTAAATGTTGTATAACACGATAAAATGCTCATGGGCTGAAAACTCAACCATTTTGTTAAAACCTCATGGTACCTGGGGGGCAGCTCTGTGATTTCCATCACATGGATCAGCGGCCACTGTCCTGGGCACAGACTCTACTGAGACCCTGAACACAGCTGAGTGGTGGACAACTGGGGGCCACTGCTGTCCTGGCAGAGCCCTAGAAAGTGCCCAAATGTCTGTGGGCGAGGGGGGCCCTTCACATGGTGGAGACTACACTGTGGTGAAAAAGGAGGGGGGCAGCTGCCTAGCACTGGTGCAGGGGTGAGTTCAAGATGGGCTCTTACCTGGGAAAGCCAGGTGATGGGATGGAGAGCACATTACTGTCAAAACCTGAGAAAGCGACGTATGTCTGAACTGACTTGAACGTGCATGAAAATTCTAGAAAAACCAGGGAAACTACTACCAGTGGTTACCTGATCAGGGAGGTGGATAAAGCAAATGGGGGCAGGGGACTGACTTTTCGGTGGATGCCTTTTCATATGCTGGTGCTTTGAACCACTAACAGCAGTGTCTCTGTCCAACATGCAAGAAAACTGGTCACACAGACAAAAAGCAAATGCTGTCAAATCTCTAAGAGCCCAGGGAGTGACACGATCTCACCAGCCAGACTGGAGTGACCCAAAGAGGGTAAGCGATGTGAGGGATGGTGGGGACTCAGGCACACCGAAGCAGAGTGTGCTGGACGGTACCTGAGGGGCCCACATCCCACTGCAGGCCGCGGGCGTCTCTTCGAGCAGGAGAGGCTCCCTGAAAAAGAGAGCAAGGGGTCCTCCTGCAGTGTGCAGGCCCAGACCCCCAATCGCCCACCCCAACCCTCCTGTAAGTCAGATTCCAAGCAGCTCTGTACCCACCCCTCCCTCCTGGGACTCAATCTACCCACAAGCTCCACCTGCCTCTGCTGTAGCTGCATCCCCCAGCCCCACTTGGAAGGCCTGCCCCCCCGCACAGGCTGTTCCTTACACCTGGAGGCCCTTCCCTGCACTGCTCTCCGGGGCAACTCCTATTGACCTGTCCTGGCCCAGCACAAGTTCTGCCCTCGGGGACATCCTCCCGACAGGGACAGTCAGTCCCCCATGGACATTCTGGTCACCCTCCTCAGAAGCCCTGATTCAGTCACGGCTGTGGTCATTGTATCAGTGTCTGAGATGGGAACCCTGTCTGCTATTTCCAGAGAGGGCTCAGCAGGCCTGGACAGTTTAGGGAGGAAAGAGCAGGGGGCAGGAGAGACCCTCCTCTAGGATCACGGAGGCGAGGAGCAGAAGGAAGAGCTAGGGGTCGAGCCCCAGGACTCGGCCCTTGGGCCCCCCTCCCCAGAGGTGTGCTGAGGCTGACCTGGCCAAGGGTGCCGAGGACCCCCAGGGCACAGGGTTGCGTGAGGGCGAGCCTGGAGTCCACCAGCCCACCCGGGGGCGGCTCCTTCCCCGGGAGGCTGTTGTAGTAGTTGTGCTCTGCCTCCTCTTCGTCGCCCCAGGCCGAGTCCTCCATCCCGGTCAGCCTGCAGACACATAGCCAGCGGGAGCACGGGCCCCAGCACAAGTTGTGGGGGGACAGATGGTGCCGAGGTCCCCAGACTCGGGGAGTTGTGCACCAAGGGGGACAAGCCTGGCCCAGGGACCCTGACCCCTCCTGTATCCGCTGGGTGGGCGGTGGTGCCAGGAGCCATTGCTGATGGAGGAAGTCGGCATCCCTTTCTGTCCACCAACAGGGGCTCTACACACGTCTCAACAGTTTGGCTAAACTGAGAGGGGCCTCCACCCATCCCAGCCACCTCAGCCCCACCGCGCAGCCAGGGCATGACACCAGGCTTGCACCTGAACTCAGAAGCCTTGGTGGCAACACCATCAGCGTTTAAAATACCCTCACTCGCTGGCCATGGATGGCGCCTTCGAAAGGTGTGCTACAGATGCTTATCCAGGCAAGTTGGCCCCTAAGAGCAAAATGCGGGAAACCACAGCCTGCCCCTTAGTCAGGGGCGAACAGCAGGTCTCAGGGGGGGCTCCCAGAGGAGGGTTCTGCAGCCAGGGGAGGGGAGGGGGTTGAGGTGGCCCCAGGTAGAAACCAGCGCTCATTCATGTACTAGGGGCTCAGGATCCCGTGTGAAGGCCAAGGGGCAAGCTCAGCCGCACACTGCTGGTTCTCATCTGTGCATATGGGACTCTGTTAACATGTCCATTCATTCACTCGCTACTCTAACCAGTTCCCATCTGTTCAGATATTTAAATAGCCTATCACAGGCCACTGCCTGAATTTGCCAGCCAGGAGCTCAGGATGACTTCTACCTTGTTAAGCCACAGAACTGTCAGATGGTTAAGAGAACATCAGAAGAACTGCATCTGACACGTGAAAGTCAGATGGAATTCAGATGTTTGTGTCCATAAATAAAGATTGGCTGGCAGGCGGCCCACCGACTGCTCACACGTCCTTCTTGGCTGCCTTCCCGCTACCACGGCAGAGGCAGGCAGGCAGGCTGGCCCTTTGCAGAAGTGCCGGCCGCCCCCATGCAGACTAAGGATGACAGCATGTTGGTCACTGCCTGCCGATCGGCTCCCTGAGTCCTCACCTCTGCTAGGACTGGAGATGTTGTTATCCTAGGATCCTCATGGTTGAGCAGTGGGCCATGGAGGTGGGGGGCACAGAGCAGGGAGGGGGCAAGGATCCAACCCCAGGGAAGGGGAGGGGCAGGGCCAGCAGGGGTACTGGGGAATGGGGATAGAGGGTCAGGCCAGTACCTTTCCGGGGGGACAACGACCCTGGGGGGGCTGTGCAGGTACTGTTTGAAGCGCAGCTCAAAGGCTTGGCCCACGGTGCTGATGACGCTCTGGGCAAGGCCCTCGCAGCACTCCAGGATGTGACAGGCTGGGGGTCGTCAGGCAGCATCAGCGGGGTCTCGACTGGCTGCGGATCCAGCCCACGGCCCCACCCGCCCCCACTGGCCTCACCTCTCTGGTTGATGGGGTCCTTGGCCACGTAGGCCACATAATCCGCCATATCCTGGAGAGAGAGGGTAGCAGACACAGGAGTCCCAGCAACGTGGGGGTGGGGCTGATGGGCACGGGCAGGGCATCTCGGGGCTTTTGGGGACAGAGGGGCTGGAAGTCCGCCCCCAGACGTCTGGGGTCTTACCGTGTCACCACCGGACGCAAAGGAGATGGACTGCATGTGGTGATTGGCGATGATCTGGCCAGAGAGAGACCGCCAATCATGGGGCTGCCATTTCAGTTGGGGGAGGAGAGAGGGGCTTGGGCCAGTCACTAGACCAAGGCCACAGTGGGGACCAGAAGGACAAGGGCGTGGAAGTGGAGATGTCCCCTCGACAGAATGCCAGGATGACCGAAAGCCCCTCTGGATGGGGAGCCCTGAAGCCAGGGCAGGATGCAGAAACCTACAGTCACACGCCCAAATACACAGGAAGACAAACCTGCCCCAACTGGTGGACACGTGTACACATGGGCACAGACATCCGATACATATACACACAAAGGTACATGGGCTTAAAGCCTCACACAAACCACACCCTGCACACACACACACACCCCTTCGTTTACAGACACACACACACAAATTCCCCACTCCAGCTGTTCAGAGACACCACCACTCACACACTCACAAATTCCCCACTCCAGCTGTTCAGAGACACCACCACTAACACACTCACTCACACTCCAGCCCACCTTCACACCTTGATGCATCACACGTTGGCCCTCACACCCTCCCACACAGACACCCAGGCACAGCACATGCACACCCAGACACTCACCACTCTCACATTCAGACACGTGCCCCATGCCACCGTGGAGGCACTAAGGAGACAAAAGCAGGACCCACTAGAGGCTCCTGACTCTGCACTGTCAACCCAGGCAGCCTCACCTGTGGGCTCACTTACATCCATTTGTTTATCTGCAACTTCATTTGCAACATCTGCTAATCGGTGTGCTCATTTGCATGAGTGTGCCTATATGCTTAATTGCATGTTTGTTTGTGTCGATGTGCTCACTTGCATGCTCAATAGCATCTATTCACCACCACCCAAAGCTGCCCTAAGAGGTCATATCCCTCCAAGACCCAGTAAGCACCAGAGACACCCAAGCAGGGCTCTCTCAGGGTCCCCCATGGTTCACTCAACCTGTCACCCCTCGGGGATACTCAGGGCTCCCCCTAACCGACCCCTATCCAGGGAGGCCCTCACTGGCATCCTGCTCAGAGTTAGCCCAGTGTGTTCCAGATAGAGTCCCTGCAGAGGTGGACAGGGAGGTGAACGTGCTGGCAGCTCCCTGCCCCACAGCTTCCTCCCCAGAGGCAGTCTGAGCCCCCTCCCTGGGGCCCTGGCTTCAGCTCACCTCCTCCATGCTTCCCATGCTCACACCAGACCACAAATCACAGCCCCAAACTTCTGATGAGGATAGCAGTGCTGTCTGGAAAAATCCCAGTTCCTCACCAAGATCCTTGCTAACCTCTCCAGCTCTATCTCATCAGGTGACCTCTGCTCAATGTCCTCTCACCTCCCCACTCAGCGCCAGCATCACCACCTCCAAGAAGCCCTCCGTGATGCCCCTGCTAGGTCACAGTGCTCACAACCTATGCCTGGCCTCACAATCCTCCTCAGAATTCATAGTTATTCCCTCCTTTCTGCAATTTTATTTTGGTTGTTTGTTTCCACCAGAAGATTCCAAGCCTCGGTCCCGCCTCCTCAGCAATGCAGACAATGGGGGCGAGACCTTCTTTGGGAGGACGTCCTAAGAGCTGTGGAGTGAGGAGCAGCGCCCCTGGCCCCGCCCACTCGTCGCCCAGGTGTGACAACCGTGGGGCGACGTGAGGGCAGCGGCCCCTGGCCCAGGGCGGGGCCTCAGCAAGTGTCCAGGTGAGCAGTTTACCCGCACTTGCAAGTCGAGTGGGCCGCGCCCACCTTCCCTCCGGGCTTCACCTGGGTGAATCCACAGACCCTCAGCCAGGCCCTACTTGGGGCTGGCTGGGTCTGAGGGTGGGGCTGGAGGAGGCCGAGGGCGGGGCTGGAGGAGGCTGAAGGCGGGGCTGGAGGAGGCCGAGGGCGGGGCTGGAGGAGGCCGAGGGCGGGGCGGGCAGCGCTCACCTGGCGCGTGGCGGGCACCGAGAGGTTGAGGCCGTCTATGGAGATGCTGACCGCAATGCTCATGCCCGCGAAGCGCAGGTTGCTCTTGCCCAAGATTGAGGCCAGGGCCTTGTTGGGGGCCTGGGGGGGCAGACGGCACGGGGGTTGAAGGGGGCAGCATAGGTTTGAAGAAGGTGGGACCACAGTGGAACGCCAGCTGGGGCAGGTCCTGGGATGGCCAGGTGTCTCCCCCCTACTTCCACCCGGGGACTACAGGCCCCTCACCCACCTTCTTCTTCCAGGAGCCCCGGACGCCAGGCACCGCCTCATGGAGCCGGTTGATGGCTTCCCTGTGTGGGCGGAGGGGGAGGGCGCTTAGAGAGCTTGGAGGAGAGGGGACAGGAGCTCATAGAAGAGTAAACTCAGAGAAGGCAATGGGCTGAGGAAGGGGTGCGGTGCATCCTGAGTGGGGAGGGGCTCAGAGGACAGAGGGATGCTGGTGCAACTGGTGGCCTAGAAGGGGACTCCCAGGCTCCCAGACGTCCACCCCATGTGCCCGGCAGGTGCCCTTGCCCTCAGCTCTCCCCCTCCTGCCCTTTCTTCCTCAGAGACCAGTGGACCCCTGAGCCACAGCCCACTTGAAGTCACTGGGATCAGATTTGGGGATGCTGGCACAAACCTTGAGCCTGGACCACAAGTTCTGTGTGACCACAGGCTGGCCAAGATTCCCACCTGAGGCATGAAAGGCTGCCCTCTGCTCTGGGCCCCCCAAGACAGGGGCCGAAACTGACCCCCCAAACCGAATGGGAGAGACTTTGTGAAACAGCACATCCCTAGGGAGGGACTGGAACTTTTACAGAATCCTGAAGGTCAGGTGGACACACAAGTTCTTAACATCGGTGCTGCGAGGGGAAACCAAGTCCTCAGCCTGACAGGTGGGAAGGTCAAATGGAGCAGTAGCTTCTCAAAATGGGTAAGGCAATCCCATCCCCAGGTGCATACTCAGGAGAACTAAAAACACAGGTGCACAAAAACCTGCATACATGGCCACAGAGCACAACTCACAAGAGCCCAACAGGTAGAAACCACCCAAACACCCATCAGCTGAAGATGGACAAACAATCCATGGTCCCTCCTACACATGGGAGCATCATGCAGCCCTAAAAAGGAGAGAAGCCCCAACACTCCCTACCACCTGGATGGATCCTGAGAACAAGATGCTCAGTGAGAGAAGCAGACACAGAAGGACACACAGTATGTGATACCATCAATGGGAAAGATCCAGAACAGGCAAATCCACACACAGAGAGGGTGGGTTCCTGATTGTCAGGGGTTGGGGGAGGGGTTTGGGGAAGGCTGCTCATAGGGGCAGGGTTTCCTTTCGGGGTGATGGAATGTTCTGGAATTAGACCATGGTCATGGTTGCACAGGGCTTCCAGGGTGGCACCAGTGGTAAAGCAATGACACTAGTGGCACTACCGATGCAGGAGATGCAAGAGACCTGAGTTCAATCCTTGGGTCAGGAAGATCCCCTGGAGGAGGGCATGACAACCCATTCCAGTATCCTTGCCTGGAGGATCAGGTGGACAGAGGAGCCTGGCAGGCTACAGTCCATGGGGTCTCAAAGAGTCAGACATGACTGAACGACCGAGCACATAGTACACAGCACCACCGCCTCCACTCCTGGCACTGAGCAGCGCCAGACCCTGCCCCAGCCAGCCTCACCTGGTGACCTGGGTGCGTGTGCTGAAGTCCAGGGAGCGCATGGAACGGAGTACCTCGATGCAGCCCATGTACTGAGGGGAGAGAGCACAGGTCAGCACCAGTCCCGCAGAGCCCAGCTGGGGGCCACCGTGGACCCAAGCCCCCTCCAGTGAGCCCACAGCCCTCCCCTCCCACCACCCAGCTATAGCCCCCGCCCCCATCCTTAGGACCATGCCCAACCTGGCCACCGCAGGGCCTTTGCACCTGCTGCCCCCACACCATCCTGTCTATCTATTTGCAGCCTGGCTCCTTCCCCAGCTCCAGGCTCCTGGTTGCCTCCTCAGAGCCACCCTCTTGACTGTGAGTTGTTTCCTGGAAGCTGGCAGATTCCTTCAACTCAGTATCTCCTGCTCATTCTCTTTCTGCTCCACTAGAATGCCAGCCCAGGAGGACCATGTGGGGATAACCCTGCTTACTTCTGCATCCCAGGGCCCAGAGCAGGGCCTGCGAGCAGATGGTGGGTGGAAGTTGTCTGGCCCTTTGCAGGGGGGAATGCTGACTCCTGCCTGAACCACCCTTTCCATGGAAGGGAACTCAGAATCTCCAAGAGATGTTGCTCAGGGGCAGCTGGGGCAGGGGTACCAGAGATGAGGGCCACTAGCGCCCCCAACATGGTGTCGGCACTGCAGGAGGGACCTGGGCTGGCCACATGCAGCAACTGTCACATGGGAAACGTCCAGGACGGGCAGGCCCGCAGGGACAAAGAGTGGGTTCCTGGTTGTCAGGGGTTGGGGAGGGAAGGGGTAGGATCACTGATAATGGGGACGGACTTCCTTTGGGGTGATGGAATGTTCCAGAACAGATAGAGGTGGTGATTGTACCACCTTGTGAAGGTACTAAATAGCACTGAACTGTGCTCTAAAATGACTCATGGTTAATTTAGTTATGTGATTGTACCTCAACTTTTAAAAAATGATTCACACACACACATTTTGACCTTGAAACTCCATTTCTAGGACTTTATCTCACAGAAGCACCAGCCCCTGGGCTCCAGATGTGGGTACAAGCAGCTGTGTGGGGGCACACACTCCACCCATTTCCCCAGGGCTCCAGTGGGCTGGTATTGGCCCCCAGTTACTCTTGACTCTGAAGCCCAGTGCAGGGTGGCCAGAGTGCCCACCGACTCGCTTTGCCCCTCCTGGGCTGGTCCCAGGGTGCCAGCCACCTGTCTGGTCCTGACACCTGATGCTGTTCTGAAGTCCCACCAGCCCCAACCTGCCCTCCCTTCCTGTGGGAGCTACAACACTGAAGGAGTGAGTAAGGAGTTTCAGACACCCCAAAACTTGACACATTTAGGGTTGCAAGGTCCAACCCAGGAGGCCAAGGTTGGCATTTCCAACAAACAACGAATATTTTCTTAGTGTAATATGTCCCAAATAATGCATGAGATGTGCTTAGGCCATTATCCATGCTTATGAGAACTTTACATTTAACCGGGCAGCCTGCATTTTTGCTCAACTAAACAAACCATGGTGCTGGGAATGGAAGAGCTTGAAGTTGTAAAAGGAAACAAAATTTTAATATATTTATATGCAAATATCTCTATAATACGGCATCAAGTGACAGGAGCAATGTGGCAATTAGAGCTCAGTGAGTGCCTTTTGTGTGGACAAGGGGGCCAGGAAAGTGTGCACAAGTGTAAAAACAGCCACTAGCTCCTCCCCTCCCCCATCCAGGTCCTGGGCTGGCCTAGATGGAAGCAGAGGCTGGAAAGGCACCTGTCGCTTGCTCCCCCACTGCTTCTGGGGCCCTGCAACCCTGCCAGGCTGACCTGCCTGATGACGAGACAAGGTGGCCTACCCCATCTCCCCAGCTGACATGGAGCCCGTCACCACGTGAACGACCCTCTAACAGAGCACGCATCTGAGGGGGTGTCAGTCCAGCAGGGCCCCAGGGTGAGGGGTCTAACCACCAACCCCCAACTAGTGTGCGGCCCACCCTGGCTCTGCAGCTGAAATGTGGCTGAAATCCTCCCATGCCCCAGCCCCTCCCTGGATGAAGTGGGGACACAACTCAGTTGTTCAGGAGAGGAGATGGGCTAGGGGTCCCATCCCGGAGGACTGAGAGCAGACCACAAGGGCACGGAAGGTGAGGAGGAGGCTAAGGGAGCACCAGGCAGTGATAACGCTGGTAAGTCACTTGTCACATGCAGGCCTGATCCAAGCTCACTTCACCTGAACCCCCATGATACAGTGACAAACCACCCCCAGGAGACAGAGCCCCAAGGACACAAGGCAACCTGCTCAGAGTCACTACTTGTAGGCTGCAAGGGCAGAATCTGAACCCACATTCTGGGCTCCAGAATCACCTGCAGTGTCACCCAGAGTGTCACCCAGAGTGTCGCACAGAGTGTCACCAACCATGCAAGCAGTGTTGTTGTTCAGTCAGTAAGTTGTGTCTAACTCTTTGCAACCCTATGGACTGCAGCACACCAGGCTTCCCTATCTTTCACCATCTCCCAGAGTTTGCTCAAATTCATGTCCATCCAGTTGGTGATGCCATCCAACCATCTCATCCTCTGTCATCCCCTTTTCCTCCTGCCTTTAATCTTTCCCAGCATCAGGGTCTTTTCCAATGAGCTGGCTCTTTGCATCAGGAGGCCAAAGTATTGGAGCTTCAGCATCAGTCCTTCCAATGAATATTGAGGGTTGATTTCCTTTAGGATGGACTGGTTTGATCTTCTTGCAGTCCAAAGACACAACTGATGCTTTTGAATTATGGTGCTGTGAGGAAGTGGTGAGACTGCAGCAAACTACACGCTTGGGGCCAGGCCCCCTGGAATCCAGAGCTTTTGCCTGAAATGCCCCAATTTGTAAATGATGACAAGAAATTTTTATTCTTAAGACTTCCCTGGTGGTCCAGTGGGTAAGAATCCACCTGCCAGTGCAGAAGATGCAGGTTCCTTCCCTGGTCCGGGAGAATCCCACATGACAGGCAGTGACTAAGCCAGAGCGCCACAACTACTGAGCCTGCACTCTAGAGCCCATGCTCTGCAATGAGAGAAGCCACTGCAGTGAGAAGCCTGTGGACCGCAACTAGAAAGTAGCCTCCTCTCACCGCAACTAGAGAAAGCCCATGTGCAGCAACAAAGGCCCAGCACAGCCATAAATAAATTTTTTTTAAGTTTTAAAGAACTTTTATTTTCTTCTTTATCTCTTTTTAAAGAAATTCTTATTTTTAAATAGAAGAGAGAAAAAGAAGGCAGAGGTCAAATTCAGCCTTGAGGGTGCCAGGCAGCATGACCTCTGATCCAGAATCCTACACTCGCGGAGACCAGCTGTGGAATATGGCCAGTGACCCACAGGAGGGCTTGCCCACGTCCCCACCCCCAGAACCGGTGAGCAAAGCCTTAGTAGAACAGGGTCTCTGCAGATACAGCCAGGCGCAGGACATCAAGATGAGACAGTCCTGGATTCAGGACGGGTCCTTAACCCAGTGACCGACGTCCTTACAGGAGAATGGCGGGTGGGGAGGGGGCCTGAGACACAGATGCGGGGGGGAAGGGCTGGGGCCTGCAGCCCCCAGAAACTTAGAGGTTCTGCTCAGAGCCCCAGAAGAAACCAGCCCACCAGCACCTTGACCTTGGACCTCCAGAACCAGGAGAGAAAACATTCCTGTGGTTTTCACTGCCCAGTTTGTGGTCATTTGTTACAGTCGCCCCAGGAGGCCGACAGAGAAGGTCTGGAGGGGGACCAACCTTCCCCTCTGCAAATGTAAAAATGGAGGGCACCCACAGCCCCCACCCAAGGATGTAAGAAAAGAAATCAAGTTAAAGTGGGGAAACTTGAGGCCCTGAGAGGGGAAGGGACCTAGGCAAGCTCACACAACAAAGCAGGGCAGACACAGTCCAAGCACCCAGCTTGCCACTCTGCCCAAAGGACCCTCCATGGCTCACAGTGCCATAGGCCCCACAACATTATTACTCAGTGTCTTCCTTCTAAATAAACTCCATTTGTAAACAGAACTGAGTTTATTCCTAAAGGCCACTAGGAAACCATACCAAAGTCTATACACCGCTGAAAGGATAAATAAAATGTCACCTCTCAACAGACTGGAATATTACTCAGCCCTGAAAAGGAGAGAAGCCCTGACACTTGCTACCACGTGGATGGACCCTGACAGCATGGTGCTGAGTGAGGCAAGCAGACACAGAAGGACACACACGGTGTGATTCTACTGATGAGAAACGTCCAGAACAGGCCGATCCACAGACACAGAGAGTGGGTTCCTGGTTGTCAGAAGAAGGGGTGAGGGTGACTGTTGATGGGGCTTCCTTTGGGGTGCTGGAATGTTCTGGAACTAGATTATAATGAGTGTTTCACAAATCTATGAGTGTACTAAGAACCTCTGAATTGTACAGCTTAAATGAGTGAGTTTTACGATACCAAAGTATATCTCAGTTTTTTTAAATATGCATGAGGAAACAAAAGAAGAAGAAAGAAAAGGAAATGTGCATGAGGTAAAAAGGAAACTGCATATTGTTACCATAAACCTCAGGTTTGATGCCTAGCAGTGCTTCCTAATAACCATTAAAATAAACATATAATTATCAAAATGAAAAGACCCATTCAGGATGAATTGCCCATTTTTGCTAAGCAAGTTAGTGGAAGTTTGTTGGGCTCCAGGCCATTTGCAGAGTCTCAGAGTCTCCCCGCTCCTAGAGGAGGTTGAAGGACAGAAAAACTGGACTCTGGTGAGAGGGGCTGGAGGGATGCCAGCAAGGGAGCCCCAGAAGTATGCACAGGACCACCTTGCAAACTTGAGCACATCGATGTTATTCTTCCATTTGAAGTCTGTCCCCAGGAGAGTACATCCCTGTGTGCGTGTGTGCATGCTCAGTAGGTCAGTCACGTCTGACTCTTTGTGACCCCACGGACTGTAGCCCACCAGGCTCCTGTCCATGAAATTTCCCAGGGGAGAATATTGGAATGGGTTGCCATGCCCTCCTCCAGGGGAATCTTCCCCTCCCAGAGATTAAATCCAAGTCTCCTGCATCTCCTACATTGGCAAGTGGATTATTTACCACTCGCTC